CTCGCAACACGGTCACACATAAAAGCATAAAAGCTCGAGACCCCCCCCAATCCACGCAACGCGGTCACATCAATCCTGTTCAATCCCTGGCAACCTCAGATAACCTCAGGCTATTGGGTCCACCTTTTACCACTGTTAAAGAGGCAAAAACCGGCCTCCGCATCGTCTTCCTTCAATGCCTTGTAGTGCTCCGCCCACTGCTGGTGCCTCACACGTCTGCTTCAACAGGAGCTTCGTACGTCTGCACGACTGGTGGTCCAGGAGACCCATCAAAAAACACCTGAGAAGCTGCAAAACGAAAGCCAGCGCTTCCCTTTCTCGACAACTGCGCGTCGAAGCAAGCAAATGAGCTCGCGCAGCTGCTTGCGGCCGCGTGTCAAATCTGCTTCATGTCTTGTTCTGCCCACACAGAGGTAACCATGTCAAAACAAAAACCTGCGCTTCCTGGCAATTGAGGGGTTCGGTGTCATTTTGCCCGGATTTTTCCTCTCCACAGGGGGGGGGGGTTTGGATGGAATCCGATGTTTTAGGCCGTAGCCAAATCTATCCACATTGACATCATTTGGTGTCTACCAGGACCTTCAAAGTGACCGTCCGAGATCCCAGAATGAGGTCACTTAGTCACTTAGTCCCGAATGAGGTCACTTGGAGACTCCAAAGAGGTCATTCTGAAGGTCCTGGTGTTTCATTCCACTTCCAGTAAGACTAAGATCCTTTGTTTCTGGTGGCTATGCGCAAGCGACTCATGCTCTTCAAGGAGTGCTGTAAGTGAAGTATCGGAGTGCTCTTCTGAAGCTAGCCTGGGTCCGTATAAATACTATGATGCTATACCTCTTACACACCTACACAAGTTCAAAGCACGAATGAGACTTCAAAGCTGTGGATTGCTGTGCGTGTGTAGAGGCTATCGAGCGGTTGACGGAAAGGGAACTTGAAGTACTATACCTGGTAGCTGCACTATAGCTACCCTGGGTCTCTATACCTAGCAAGGTGCCAACTACACCTTTATTTTCAAGATGGCCTGAACAGAGTGTTTTAGGGCAGCAAACCGTGGTCTCAGGCCACCTTGAATTTAGCATGAAAACCACAGCTACATAGCTACCCTGGGTCTCTATACCTGGCAAGGTGCCAACTACACCTTTATTTTCAAGGTGGCCTGAACCTGGTCTCAGGCCACCTTGAACTTAGCTTGAAAACCACAGCTTTGAAGCCTCATGCGCGCCATACCTGGGAACAGAATTGTAGCTACAAGACCTTTATTTTCAAGGTGGCCTGAACAAAGTGTTTTAGGGCAGCAAACCGTGGTCTCAGGCCACCTTGAATTTAGCTTGAAGAAAACCACAGCTACATAGCTACCCTGGGTGTCTATACCTGGCAAGGTGCCAACTACACCTTTATTTTCAAGGTGGCCTGAACAGAGCGTTTTAGGGCAGCAAACCCTGGTCTCAGGCCACCTTGAATTTAGCTTGAAAACCACAGCTTTGAAGCCTCATGCGCGCCATACCCGGGAACAGAACTGTAGCTACTTGTAGCTACCCTGGGTCCGTATAAATACTATGTTGCTATACCTCTTACACACCTATACAAGTTCAAAGCACGAATGAGACTTCAAAGCTGTGGATTGCTGTGCGTGTGTAGAGGTTCTCAAGCGGTTGACGGAAAGGCAACTTGAAGTACTATACCTGGTAGCTGCACTATGATGCATTTGGCATTTCTTGCATCACCACCCCTCAAAAATCACCTCCAACACAACCTCAAAAAACCTTCCCTCGAAGCACCCTCCTCCCCCAGCATGTGCCGAGTTGACGTATACCTTTCTCGGGCCACCCCCCCAGACCCCCTAACTACTCACTTCGTTCGCCAGACACAACTCCGCTAGCGCCTTCTACGAAGGCTGGCTTTCGTAATGTTTGCGCTGGTTTCGAACAGGGAACGCCCCAAGACATGGTGTGCTTTCCATGTTTTAAGTCGAGCCCACATGGCTCAGTGTGCACAGCCTCATGACCGAAAGCATCACTAAACCTCACTTTTAAAATGCGCTACCCCATCTGGCCTTTCTCGTTCCGCGATGCGCCTGGCCAGGCACATGGCGCAATCCAACAAAAAGAAGAGGGATCAAGGAAAGAGAGCTTTAATTTAGACAAGGAAACCGCACATACAATACTTGTAACTTGTATCTAGCCTTTTGACATACCGTATTTTGACCCTGCTAAAACCATGTATATAAAACATCATTTCATGCCTGAATGAATCTCATTAGTGGATGCAACAACAACCTTTGCCGAACACTTGCATTCCTTCATACGATGCACTGCTAAGCTGGTACGCAGGAATATCAGGGAACTCGCATACGAGTTACACGCAATGCACAGTCCACCAAGTCAATCATTGGTTGTCTTCATGTAGCAGGTCTAAAGGTCTGGAGTCAGTTGAGTGTTTAGTTAAGAGGTCTTTGACTTCAAGGCGGCAATATGGCATGAATGGATGCACAAATTGATGTTGCTCTTCATTTTTTTCCAACCTGTTTGTTCGTGTGAAACTGGTGGCAGGCGCTTGTGGTCACACAACATGGCAGGCGACAGATGCGGAATTGGAACGAAAAAAGGAGGCACCTTCCCTACGTGCAAGGAAGCAAATTTGGTGCCTGGAGACCACGGTGTAGGTGATCACCCCGCCCAAAGATATGACCTCGGTCACGACGAGGTCTGGTGAGTCGGTTGGCTCGGAGAAGACGGCGGGTCAACGAACAAGACTCGAATTGGAGCCAAAAGTTGTTGAGTCCCCGAGCGATCTACCATTCACAGCCACTTGACAGTGAAGATTGAACATCGTGCCATGCCCCACTGTTGTTCGAGATTCTGAACGTCTCCAACTGTGGTGCCCGAACCACGCCCAGTGCGTTCAGCAAGGTCATTGGTTTGCTGAACAGCACGGCGCCACAGCCTCAGAGTTTGGGTGGCAAAAGGTCAGTTTGGTGCCCAATCCCATCTCAAGAACTGTGGGAAGATGGGGGTAATTCCACCTGCGATAGACATCAACGATCTTAAGCAACATCCACACTGTACCATGCTGCACTTGACGCTTTTTTTTCACTGAGGAACCGAGTGCTGGGGCATTTTGGGGCTGAAGGTTGCCAGGGCCCCCTAAACTTTTCACATCATGCATTCGCCCTCATTCTGACGCTTTATTTTGCATGCCTTCTCTGCCTTCAAGGCCCTCAAAGAGACATAGCCCAAGGATAAGGCCGCTGTGTCCGCTGTGGCCCCATGCAGATCGTGCCCAAACGTCGCACGATGTCGGTGACCTCGGTGGCCGGTCGAGCGTCGCTTTGCTGAGCGTCGATGTTCGGAAGGCCGAAACGACCGGAAAGACCTCCAGGGCCTGTGGGACGGGTGCAATTTTGGATGGATGTTTGTTTTGATGAGTGCAACACCACTTCAATCAACCTTCGGATGGGAAGTTCATGATGAGTCCCATGTTGAAGCTAAGTTTTTCAAGCTGAGCCTAATCATTGACATCTCTTAGCCACTGAAGAAAGGTCTGATAAGATTCCTGGGGATGCTGGTATTGCTACTTCACCCTAGTAGCTTTACCGGCACTGCAATGCCCAAGAAGTTGCAAACCTTCAGCTTCAACAGTGTGCTTCTTCAAGATGCCGTGGAGTCGCGAGCCCGTGAAAAGAAATATCAATGATGCAACTGGCAACATGTTAAAAACTGATGCTTCACCTGCCAAACATGGGAAAACACATGTTTTGGCCTTTGACTTTGACATGCTTTGACTGGCTACATATGCAGTTGGTGCATGTCAACCCTCCCCAGATCCAAACCCTGAGGCCCAAACACTAAATGCCAAAGGGTTGCATAAAGCAACGAAGAGAAAGTTCAAGGTGTATTCAACCTGGACAGAATATCAAATGCACAAAGTTGTTTCCGGTGGATCTATGAGAACTCGACCTTGGCATGTGTCCAGATGGTCATGAACTCCAAACTTAGCTGCTTCTGAGTCTGTCATGTCCTCCTTTCCTTGCAAGCGTTTTGCAATCTTTCCCATGCATGTAGCTATCATGGACCCTTGTTAGTCCCGCACATGATATGCGAGCGCTGCCATTGCCGCGACCTGGCCAATCAGGAGTGTGTGAAGGTGCTGGACGCCGCCAATGATAGCTAGCGTGTTGGAAGACCCACGAGGAACAAAGGATCCTGAAAAGCTTTCTGGGTGAGCTGTGCTCACACCAGTCACTTGCTCAATCTTACTAGGCGGTGGGAAATTGCCCAATGAAGCCAAACAAATCATAGGCGCGCACCGGCTCACACCCCTTGGGAAATACATGCAAATACATTGCACGTTCTCCTCCGTCACACACCATCCGGATATCTCTGCACTTCAGCTAAGATGAAAGACCAACATAAAGCTTGAAGCATTCTTTAGCGGCTCCACTTTGAGAAAACTGTTGCTGCAGCACCATTCAATATTCATGCACCAAAGAAAAGATTGTGACGTCTGTTGACAACCCATCCATGACGAATAGATGGCTAACAGCATACCTACCTACCACCCCCCAAAATGAGTCCTCAACTCCCTAAACCACACGAAAGGCTTATGGAAACAACTCTTTCACCACAAGGGAACCCATGAGAGTTTCTTGGACCAAACATGACAATATGCTGTGCCTGTAATTATGCTGATGTGTCCGCTGACTTGGCCAGGTGCCACAGACTGCCACAGTTCCATTTTCTCATGTTAGTATATGTTAGTATGCTATTGCTGACGTTTCAGCTCAGCTTCCCCCCCAAATGCCAGCGTTCCATGCTCCTCATCCCATTCTCCACGGCCTTCATTGAGGTGGGGCACGGTGGCTGTGAGAGGCTGAAGCACGCCGTCACCAGGCCATGCCCATCGTCCTCACAAAGGCGGACGCAGCATGGGAGTCGCCCCAAACGGCGGAGACCGGTGGCAAGCGCGTGGGATCTGGATGGATCGGATGGATCTGCTTGGAGGAGTGACAATGAGATACAATTAATCAGAGATTCGGTTCAGTCTTTTGAATTTGGTTGAGGATCTGATGTGTCCTTTTGTGGAGATCGAAAAGGTTGGAAGCACTGTTTCATGCTTTCTTTCTCCGCTGCTTCTGCTTTCTTCGGCTGGTCGAAGCCTGTGACCAAACAACACGGTGGGTGGATGTGCCGCAAGGAAAGGCTCATGATCATCCCGCATCCAAATGAGATGCGGCCAACACCGAGGCCAAAACCAATTTTACTATAGACACTACTAATCCCAACCACTCCATGGGACTGCCATATATGCTTACATTGACGCCCCCCCAAACCACCACCCCTGGCCGTTTCTCGGCAGTCCTATGGCAGTCCCACTAGTCGTGTCTGGGAATTCTATTGGTCTTGCTGATTGGCGAGGCGACTTCTGCCCCTCTTGGCGCCGTCGTGAGACGCATGGCGCCGGGCCTTGGCGTAGGACACGGCCAAGAGAGGCAGCGAAAGCACAGTGCAAACGGTGGCCATTACTGTAAAGGCCTGGACCGAGGCGAGAATTGGACGCGCTCAGAATGACCTTTGACAGGCTAGCAGTGCTAGCAGTGCTAGAAATACATACAAGCATCTGATGCATTCCCTTGGTGGCCATGAAATAATATATGTTTTGCTGGAAACATGTGGTTGGGACTCGGAGGGGAAAAGCACAAAGAAACAAGCAACACAAAGTCTGAGTATCTGAGTATCATCGTATTGTGCAGCCTCTATACCACGCCTCCATCCCGGACAGCTTCAGTGTTTGAGTTCCTGTCCTGACGGAACATACGCACAGGGCTCCAGCTTGTCCCGGTGGAAATCAACAGAATTGGAGGAATCAGGTGGACCTTAACCTCCATCGAACATGAACAAATCAAGACCAGTGAGTTTGTCAAGTAACACCTTCAGGCGTGCCAAGGTCACTTGGGATCCAACAGAAGAAAACTCGATCCTTTATATAATTTTGTTCTGACTCTAGGACTCTAACTCTAGGACTGCAAACATCATTACCACCACCACCACCATCATCATCATCACCACCACCATCATCATCGACACCACCACCATCATCAACACCAGCAACACCAATAAACACCAACCTCAGGCTCGAAGCGCTTCACCTTGGAGATGATGTTCAGCAAGGTTTGTGACATCGACGAGCCCAACCTCAGGGTGGGTGTCGTGCAGGGCTGACCCTGCTTTGGTCGTGGGTTCTAGGTATCCTGCCATCCGTTTGTTCGATGCAACGTGTGCCAAAGCGGTGCAGTGCCCACCCGATTTTAGCTTGATTGGTCAAAGCACAGAAATGGACGAGGGGCCGAAATCTCCATAGAACCGATAGAACATTCTGCAACAACAAAATACAAAAAGTTCTCATAACGGACCATTTTTGATCCTTCAATCGAATGGAAGATCGTGTTCTTTGCATTTAGGGACCCAAGCACACCCATTCTGAAGCTCTGAACACCCTTCTAGGGAACAGGCGCGCACAGCAAACCCAACCTGAGTGGATGGGTGCAAACTCAAAGCATGGCACCAGGCGAAAAGGGTCGCGCGTACAAAAGGCCGCCATTCTATAGCAGCTCTCCAGCAGACTTCAGTCTGCCAGATCTCGAAACAGCAAACAGTCTTGCAAGACAGGAAATTGAACAGGAAAAAGTTGCCCCAAGCCAGCTCTTTTTAAGTGCAATGACAAACAACAGGTCTGCATACAGTCCACAGTCCGCAGGTGTTTTGAGACCCTTAAGACTTTAGACAAGCCAAGGAACACTCCGCCTGACCCCGGCTTAGCTTGGCCTACGATGTGACGTCAACCAATTCTCAGATCCGCGGCGCGCTGCTTTCGGCATCGGTGGCGCTGGCTAAGGAAACGCCCAAACAAACGGGCCTCGGTGGATGTGATGCGAGAAATACCTACAATGAGGTGAATGGCAGAACTGGCCAGTGAGGTCGCTTTGAAATCTGGAATGTAGGTGTGTTCTTGTGGAGGGCCGATTGCCTCGGAACTGGCTTCAAAAGTTCCCTCTCCTCTCCTCTTCCGTTCTCTGTCTTTTGCGGTTGAAACGAGTAGTGGATTAACATGAATTAACTACATTACATAGTTGTACAAAGTTGCAAGGCAAAAATACAACCATCAAACTAGCAACAAAAAGGAACAAACTGACAGAAAGAGAGAGAGAGAGAGAGAAAAAAACACGGATTGTTTCACCAAAAAGGACACAAAACAAAACGTAAGTACAAAAGCAAATGACGAAAGAAACCGCGACATAAAGCAACCCTAGTCTCCCACTTGTTCCGAATATTGATCAATTACGGCATGGTGTCCTTTGGATTTCTCCGAGATGTCCCTCTGGGAAGCGTGACAGCAAGGAAGCATAGATTGGAATCTCGAAGTGTTGCCCACCTCATTGCTGGAGACGACGGCGGGGCAACACTTGAGTCAGCGGTTGCTCATCCACCGGTCATGAAACCGCCAAAGCAAGGCGTTCAGAATCTTTGGGGATTGGTGTGGAACGCTGTAAACATGTACTTCAAGAGACTCTGTCTGTGACTTCATTGAGCTCAGTGTACTTCAAGCAAAGGATGTAAACATGTACCTAACTGTTGCTATACAAACATCCGTCTAACGGCACCCATGAACCCTGTTATATAACGTTTAACTGGGAAGATGCTCACAAACCAGGAATCCAAAAGGAAACTCCTCCAAGACTCTCAAGGCACATTGTTGGTTGACAGTTTTGGCACTTCACACTCCCAAACAAACAAACGAGTCACACTGGCTTACAAAAGCCTCTGGGAACCAACATTGGCTTGTTGTATTCCCTTAGATCCACGCTCCCCTTACAACGGGGTGCATACCATTGCAGAGTACCAAACAAAGAAGCTCGCCAGCTGGGAAGCCTGTAAACCAGGAATCCCCATGTTGTGGTCCGATCCAAATGAGCCAAGCGGAACTACTACCATGTACCACATGCTTGTGCTTGGCCAAATAGAAGCAGCAAGGAACATCTCACATAGAAGCAGCCCGAAACTGAACTCAAGTTCTTTTTTCTCAAGTTTCGAGGCTGAGCTCTTTTCCTCCAACGCCGAAGGTCCAGTGCTGGGGATCCCCCGACGGAGGCGGCAACAAAGGACCTGAGAGGGGTCTGGGCCGAGGAGCACCCAGTGACTGCAAGGCATGCAAGGACCTGAGTTAGTGAATTTGCATACAGGAGTATAGTCTGTATGCATTGTATTGATCAAACCCGGTTCATGATCTTTCTAGGAATCCTTTCAAGCATGGTTCATCATGTTTTCTGAAGAGTGCAATCTCCTACCTTTTTCAAGGTGAGCAAGCCGCTGCGAGAGTCGCAAATGACCTACAGAGTTTACCCATTGTTGTCAAAACTGTGTGGACTAAAACACGTTCAACACTCTGAAAGCCTGAACGGCCACTAGTTACGCTGGTTGTCCTTCGAACCCTCCCAGCCACCTGCCCCACCCACCCTGGCCGGCACAACCATGGCCCACCAACGGAGGCGAGATGCGGTGAAGAAGGGGATCAAACTCTTCACCACCTCGGATGCACCGATGCACCCCAAACGCTTGGGATGCGGGGCCGGCTGCAGGGCCGACTGCGGACGGCGGACGACCATGGGCTCCAAAAAGAGGCAAGCGGAGGGGGCTGAACCCATCCCTATACTGACTGGGGTGACGAGTGCATGGCATGAAGGAATTGGGGTATTCTATGGTGAGGGGGCATTCCCTTTTTGCCTAAGAGTTGCAGCAGTCCTCTTTCGCCCTGTCAGCAAATCTAAGGAAGGGAGATGAAGGGAGCAGAAAGCGGGGTGAACGACAAGGAATTTCGAGGCACACCGGCTCACTGTCTCACTTTTCTCTGCATAACTCGAATCATAGCCACGTGCTCACCAGCGCTTCCTCAGCTGAATTGTGGGCAGGTAGCTTTGCCCCGCGTAAGCTGCTGGATTCCTAGGAAAGGGTGGCCACACGTGGCCACATTCCACCTACACGTCCAAACCCATTCTTCTGTCAATCCCCCCCCGGCTGGCAGCCACTTCTTTCTTGTTCATTCAGGCGTCTCCCCGAAGCGGTTCCTCCGCCCAAACCGAGGAGCATAGGTCAGGGTCACTCCGGAGCAAAGCCTGCAGTCAGCAGCTGGCGGAGTCGGTCTCAGGGGTCGGTGAGTGAGGTTCCAGGTGTCGGTCCGAGCGCTATGAAGTCGATGTTCGAAATGGATTGGGTTGGCGGCACTGGGAATAGCTCTGGTGTACATAAATCAAACGAGCGAAAGGCCCATGAATCGTCCCATACTATATATTATATATATATTTATTCACATCTAATGTCGAATGCCCAGTCCAGCTTTCACCCAGGTGATGGGTGTGGTCTCGGAGTAAATACCATTCAATAACTCATGTGACAACACATACCCCTTGGAACTTCAACATGCTTCTTACTCATGATTTCTTCGCAACTTTCTTCAGTGCTTTGTTTTACTTTTGTATGACACAGGCCCCTCTGAGGACGGACAAGTAGCCCTGTGGCCACCTAGCTCACCGGACCAAACGCAGGACTGGCGCACAGGACCCGTGGGGCCCCCCAGGCATGCTCATGGAGTTCAGCAGGTTGGCGGTGAGCAGTAGCGCCGAAGGTAAGAACAACCTGCGGAAGGGATGGACGGTGAAGGTAAGAACAACCTCCAGCCTTCTGTTTGGAGGGTGAATCTGGTCTGATCAGTGGATTTTGTGGAAGATCACGTGGGACCATAAGCATCTTATAAATAAGGTCTAGCAGGTTGCAGACAAGGAATCAGTTTCTCAAGTCAGAAGACATGCATCATAACTTGATGTTGAAGGACAACCGGACAACCTGCTCCGTTTATATAAACTACACTGTTGTCCAGGCTTGCAAAAACACCATGTTGCACTAGTCTGACACAAGTGGCCCCAAAGAGACGTCTCACTCCTCTACAATTTGGGTTTCTCCCTCTCTCTCTCTCTCTGCTAAGATCTGCAAAGTCTAGCTGTCTTACAGCTGTCCCACACGGACGGTCTCGTGGAGTAGTTGCACTGTACACCGCTTGTTCGTCACCGTCCGCGTCACCGTCACCACTTCCCACGAACTGAAACGGAGACGGGACGGACCACGCAACCCGCGCAATGGGTGCCACGGAAGTGGAGAAAACTGCCGGCAGACCAAGGCACCTGCGTTTACTGGGGAGTTGTCCTCAATGTTAAAAGAGAGGTCACCCATTGTTGCTTTACTTCCAAATGCACGAAATCAATAAAGGACTGTCTCAATATAGAAAAGACTAGTAACTAAGATGGAAATGTTGGATGATCATTTTACTGGGTATAGCGGTATAGCTCTCAAATAGATCGAAGGCTACCCGGTCACCCATGTGGCTTTTGCATGAGGAATATCCAACCCCCAAAAATCATCCAAACTCCCTGAAGCGGTAGATGTGCTGAAGGGATAAAGTATGTGCCACTCGAGTCCAGTGTGATGAACAATGGTGTGTGCGCGTGCATTCCGGGGTGAATAAGGGATTTTGGCTACAGGCAAACTTTAACTTTACACATCTATAGTGAGCTTTACAACCCTAGCTTACTTGCAAATCACCCGCTTACTATAGAATGCTTTTTGGTAAATCTACAGCTATAGTCAGCTTACTAGTACAACCTTTGAGACGGTTTTCGTTGACCTGTCTTAGCTCGTCCGACCCTTTTGAACCTCCCACCACGCAGAAGAAGCGCTCGTTCAAACGACGGACAAGGAAAAACCATGATGGAGCACCCCTTGGAATGGAGTAAGTCATCTATTTTCATCTATTTTCTACGTCCCCTTTCAGTTTCCAATTTCCTTGGACCATATTGACAAGTACTTTCAGAAGCTGTCAAGCTGCAGCTCCCAGCACGCTTTCGTCGGCACTCTCCCATTTTAGCTGTCAAGCGGTCGAACTCAGCTGTCGATTACAAGACGTGAAGGAAAATTCCAGGCAGCCACAACACATGTTCCCTCCCTGCTATTGTACCACTGAAAGCCTGAGCCAAGGTCAGAGTTCGCGTGATGTAGTAACTTATGACTCACAGACTTACGCCAATCCCGAAATCTTTCAAACACCAATGAGTCGAATATTATGTGTATTGCGTCAAGCGCAGCTCGCACTTGAGTCGGGTGTGTAGGGCAAGACCCATACATAACAGTCAAGGTTTGTCCAAACCATGCAGACCGAGTTCTTTGCTCTGATGATCTTGGAAGCCTTTCAATACTCGACTGTGGACGCTGTCCGAACATCGTCAGATATTGTGTCAAGTGCTTGTTAATAGCTAGATGTTGGGTATATCCCATTACCAGTAATAGTGGATTATGATTGTTAGTAGAGGCATTCCTAGAAAATAGTGATAACCTTAAGGCATTCCTGTTACTGGTAATGGGCGAATTTCAATTGGACTACTCAACCTGGGAGGCTCCGTTTGTCCTTGTTGCCGAATCTCCGCTGGAATTCTCCCAACACGCGCCTTTAGAGCATGGAGAGGCGGAGTGACAAAGGAGCGGAGGTCACTACATCTCTTGGGGGCTGCGGGAAGTTCTGTAGATTGTTTGTTGATTGTGGTCTTGTAAATTGATTTGCAATGGTGTTTTCCGATTATTCTTGGTAGATTTTGGTTGATGATGTTCATTGTTACAGTGAATTCCCATTTCAGTGAATGAACCTCCCAACATGTGGACCAGCCCGCGGCATCCTCTCTTTTCGCATTGAATGCTGCCCCCCACATCGAATTAAAAGGCATGGCCTGATCGAGAAACTTTGGAATCGGCTTAGCTGAACCGGAAACCTACTCAACCTCAAAAAACCTCCAGGCGGCCCTCACAGTTGATGGCCTAAACCTTGAAAAATGCCAAACTTGTTAGCGAGTGAGACATTTCTCTCATCATATGGATGGGATACATCTCATTCTCTTCATCATATGCCTGTTACATACACAAAATGATATATAAGTAACTATAAATAAAAGCAAATATATATATATATATATACATATATTTATATATAGAGAGATTACTCCCAACTCCAAACATGGGTAACTTGCAGTGGTCGCAACGATTGGCGTTGATGGTTCCCGGTGCTGCTGTTTTGGGCATGAGAGCAGCCTTCAGGAAGGACTCAAGGAGCAATGCCAGCATTAGTCCGCAAGGGGTGAGATTCTTAAACCTGAATGAAAAGAAAACACTTCTGCCTCATCCTTGTTTCTACCCGTCTGTCACGTCACTTTTTTGGGGCACCCAGGTCTGTCAGCGTTTCTTTCCGGCCAACTCTTGGGCGATTCGCTTCCTCGACCACCTTGCGGCTGACCATCACCCGACGACGCGACCGCCGTAAACCGGCGTCCGGGATGTGGCCCAAACAAAGACCCTCACAGGAGCCAGCGGTGCTGGGTGAAGCGGACCAAATCGAAGCCCGTGGCAGGTTGGAAATCCGATATTCCCAGACGTCTGCCATGGCATGGGACTAGAAGATATGCCTACATCTTCGGTGGTTTCAAGGGTCAATGTAGGCTTGTATTGGCCCATGCACCATCGAAGTGGAGCGTTTCGGGATTGGAGAACTGGCTCCTATGCAAGATTCGAAAGTGCCCGGGGTTTTGTAAGGCAAAAAAGAAACATATCCCAAGGCACTATCAGTGTCTTTCTGACCAAATCCCAAGTTTGAAGGGCCCAGGGATTTGGTCAGAAAGACACTGATCAAAGGCTGGAGGCTCCTCATCACACATAGAAGCCATCTTGTACTTGTCACCCTGGTAGCCTTTGACTAGGACTACTAGGTAGGGCAAACAAGCAGAACGGGTATGGTGCTCCCTCAGTATACTGGAAATGTCCAATTAAATCTCGTTGGCATCCGTTCGTTCTCACTTTAGTGGCCTCAATCTTCATTTGATCTCCTGCACCACAGTCCTCCGGTTTACCACGAAGCTTGCCTCTCAGAAGCACTTCGGACGACTCTCCAGCTGTTGTAGCTCACGGTAGAGCCTCGTAAACGAAGCGAACAAGTACTCACACAGTTCCCTGGATCACCGATACAAATAATGTCCCCATGCTGGAGATGCAACTGAAAAGGGTATTCTGAGCAGGGTGGCTATTTCTTGCAAAACCAAAGGTTGTGACAACACATCGAGTACGATCCAGCCGCTGGACAGTTCAGGCAACAAATTCAACATGCACTCCTCTTGCATCGAGAAACCGGTTTAGGATTCTTTTTGCTGCCTGGGCAATGTTTCTAAGGATAGGATGCAGCTTCAAGGCAAACAAAAGGCAGTTCAAATCAATACGCGGGGAACCAACCTATCTCTCGATGTGTACGGTATGCCAGGTGAGGATGGCATGTTGCCAGGTGAGGGTGGCATGTTCGATGGATTCAAACGTGGCTATGCCAAACACAAAGCAAACACGTGACAAAACTAAGTGCTTCACCTTCATGTGACTCATGCAAAAATGCAAACATTTCCCCTTTGCGTACTCCAGTGCGCCACTGAATCACAGAACAACACATGCCGCTGACTGAGCATGTGCAACCAATGGTGAGCTTTGAATACCACAAGAAGTGCCATCTTCTTATCATCTAAGTACCTTGCTACCTTGACCGCTTTGAGTATCTTGACTCCTTTGACACCTAGAGCTACGCTACAAGCCCTATATTGTAAGGGCGTACCAACAGTTTTTGTATCTGGTTGGTGGTTTCACCTCACTTAGTCAGTGGGTTCAATCGTCCCAAGTAAAGGTTCAACATAACAACATTGACAACCACCACCTAGGCATGAAGATTTGCTTGAGAAATCCCACCCTCGCACTCGCACCTTTCACTTCCGGTCTTTCTTCACATACTTTCGCAGAGAGACAGGACTGCTTTCAGTGCTGTTCCGCACCGAACAAGCGATCTCAAGCGAT